TGTATTAATGATGCACCAGACACGCTTGTTTCTACGTATCGCCGTTCCTCTGTTCGGCTTCTGTTCATTTTACACGGGACCCGATTGCATTAGAGAGGTTTCACGAGTTGCGGAATATACGTCTGTAAAGTGGTGGCGCGAATTCGAATAGATTCGAGGATAAATAAATACCGAGGAGCATTCGATCCGCGACACTGAATATTTCATCGGATTATCAAGACGCATAAATCCGGTGAAGAGGAATGTCGAGATCGCGGAGAAGATTCCTTATCTTGTCCCGGGAGGTGTATCGATTAAACCCCGATATTAGGTTACCGCATGCTCGTAGATTTTCGGTCCGGAACGAAGCGGAAGAAGTGCAACGGTAACGATAATGGGGGAACACGGACTATTGGCATAGTTTTCGAGTGGCGCTTCAAATTATTCCTATTTCGAGAAAGCTGGCGGCGGTCCAGTCGTTGCGCGGCTATCTTTCCCCCGGATACGATCAAGAATTATCGAAAAAAAAGCCCCCGGACGGTTCCTTGTGTCCGTCCGTATCGTAATTTCCCGTCTCCCTCGCATCCCGTGTCGGTCTCTGTTCCTTTTGCGCGTTTCGCTCGATGTAATTTATACGCTTTCCCGGGCCGGATCGTGTTTCACATTAAATCGGCGCTCGGGGGATCGGATGACCCGTCCCTCCCCGAAGATACCGCTGTTACCCCGCATTATTTGCAATTTAAATAATCCGACAGATCGGTGATTAATCGTCCGGTTCGACAACATTTTTCCCGGTCGGGTAAGCTAATATCGAGAGCCCGGCCCCGGGATTTACATTGGCCGAGAGCGCGGCCGCGCGCTCGACCGCGGCTCGTGCACCTAAATTTTCTAGGGCAATCGCCGGTAATCGATATCATATTTGTTGGCTCGCGGATCCGCCACGGGAAATTAAATTCCGCGGGCCGGGGGCCGCGGTACGAGCACGTGTTCCTTGATTCACTGGCTTAATTGTCTTTCCGTCTTTTTAGTCCACGGCCGGCCGGACCGATAATAGCTTGCCTCCGGCCGAATCGAACCGAAATTGAGACAAATCGGAGTGTTTAAAGTTCCGGCGGACTCCAGTGTGCCGATCGTCGATCGGAATCTAGGATAGACAGCCGTTCCGTGATCGTTGCTCCTTGGCCTTTCGATTCCGCGATACAGCGACGCGGTCCGCAATTTCTGACTGTCCGAAAGCAGATCATCGAATTTACGGTAATGACGCATGGAACTCGCATTAAGAGCATCGATCTGGAATGAAATTTCGAGCGATCCGTATCGGTTTCGAATTCTACGCTTGACGTAATTTATGGCAATGATTCGACGAGTACGAATTAAATCTGTCTTTAGTAAATTTGATTTCCGGACGAATTTCGATGGCGAATCGACGATGGTCGTGGATATTTATTACGGTCGCTGTACGCGGTGGGGACATTTTGACGCGTAACCAGCGTCGTCTCGCTACCTGTAATTCGAGTCTGAATCTTCGATGCTATATTGCCAGTCGGAATGTCCCTGCGGTCTAATGGAGGCATCTCGTGGCATCTATTAGCAAATGGTTCCCAACGGTCAGAGCCCGGCCGCGTTAACCCGACGCCAGGCCACCGCCAGAAAGACGATTGATATTACATTAGATGGTCGCAGTCTGATATAGGCCAGCCGAACATCGCGATATTCAATCGCCGTCCGCCAGGGACTCGGCACAATTGCGGCGCAACGTTTGCCGAGCGGAAAACGGCGACGCGTTCCCTCGTAAGTTTCCTCGTTCGGGGGAGCAAGAAGATGCCCGGGTCGCTTCGCAACTTTCCCACGCGTGAATCGTCGGAGCATAAAGAAACGATCGGCGATCGCCGTTGTAATTGATACAAATTCCCGGTTTCATCCTCCTCGAGCACGCAAGTTTTAATATCGACCGAGAGAAGAGTTCTCCAGCTCGAAACTTCCGGCTCGAGAAGTTTCCCGGCAGCGGAGGGGAGAGGAGGGAAAAAAGGGGTGGGGATGGAAGAAGGGAGGCGAAGAAGGACTATTATCTGCTGAAGAACAGGTGCACCGGTAAAAAAGTGGGTCAACGAGACGCGCGTCGAGCTAAACACATTTTCCCGCGGCGGAGCGAGCAGCCTTACGATCGCCCTTCGCGTGCGCGGCGCCGCATCGTTCGCTCGAAACGTTCAATTGATTTTACGATTTCTCATTTCACGGTCCGCGAATGAATCCCAGCGTTCCGGGGCCGGAAACGGTGGCCGCGAGCCGGATGGGTATTCGCGGTCCGCAGGATTCGTCCGGGGATCAACGGTTGCGTCGTCGCTCGCGTGTCACCGATACGTCAGCGCTCGGCGAAGGTTCGATCCGGCCGGATCCGCTTTAACGTCACCGGATGCAGCCCGAGGGCGAGAGCCGCAGCCACGTATCCGTCTTCAGAGGTCGGTACCTATGTACCGGGGTTATGTAGACCCGGTCCGCCCGGAAACACCTACATAGGTCGACGGAGGGCCCGGGTCTTAATCCGCGTCGCTAATTTCCACGGAATCTACGCGTAATGCGATCACACTTGAGCAGGCAGAGGCAATGGCTGCTCTCACGGGGAAGCGAATTCCCGAATGCAACGATCCGTGGAGGCGTGGCAGACCTCGATCTTTGCCCTGGTCCTTCGAACCGTCTCCTCGTTGCAGTTCCCTCCCTCCCCTCGCTCCTCTTCCCAGCCGCACAACGGTTCGCCGGCTCCGACTTCCTTCGTTCGCATTCCGCCGGTGTTCCGCGATATCGGCGGACGTACGACTAATTGGTAGCCGGATCCCGGCGTCAACGATACCACCGTGAGGCAAACGAGATCGGGCGAAATTTCGTTTAAAAGTTTAGGCCGCCACCGACGACGCCACGACGTAGACCGAGGCCGAGGGGCGGCGGCGCAGGGTGAACTCCGTGCAAGCCGCAAAGCTACTTTCTCATCTCCGTGGTAACGCTAAAACTGCGTTACGCGGCGCACCACCGAGGAACCCGGCGAACGTCGTCCGCGACCGGCCCGGGCCTAAATACCCTCGACATTCCAAAACAATATAGCACCGGCTAACTTCCACCGCTGACCTACGTTCTAACTAG